GCCGAATGGAATATCCAACATGTGATTTGAACGGTCTTGGAAGCATTATGTTTATGCAAAATTGATTTGATAGGAACACTAGTCTCTCCAGAACTCCCATATCAGTTTAGATAAGAGAATGTTCGTTCCTTCTGAATCGCAAAAAAAATCCTTTTTGGAGCACACCAAAGCTGCGAGAGAGGAGCGTGCATTGGAGAAACGTCGTGAAGGGGCAGCTGTGCGAATACAGGCTCAATGGAAAGGATATGTGACTCGTAGGCAGTATCACAATCAAATAATGTAAGTATTTGTGACCTTATAACTTGATTACTTCACTATAATACACATGTACATAGATCCGATTTAGATAATTTGATAGCGGCAGAAGGAAATGAAAAGGATGTTGAGCTTATGCCAGCAATAACTGTGTATCCTGTTGTACGCCGGTTCCTCACGTATTTTCAAAGCAAAAAGCAAGCGCTCGAGGGTGAACAGTCGCGTGAGAGGTTTGAATGTTTATGTCGGTATCTAAATAAAGCCATGGAAACCGATTCTCCAAAAATGTCATACGCAGCTTTATGTTTGCATAAAGATAAGAGGTGATTTGGAAGGAAATAATACGCCGCTTCAAAATTGGATAAGTCAATTATTTTATTTATAAATCATTTTTAGTTTGCCATGGCTGGCGCACATCAAATCATTACTCAGTCTGTGCTGTCAAATGTTGCAGGACCTTAAGCCGGGTAGGCATAGTATTTAACTTTATAATCATTTAACTTTTGCAATTTTCGTAAACAGAAAATCATACAGATAGTATTTCTTTGGCACTCTACTTGCACACTTTGGTGGTTTTTACATCGCCAAAATCGTGGGGCATTCTTCGAAGTAAGCAATTCGAAAAATTACAACCCGCTTTACAGAAAATATGCTGCAATATTCAGGGTAAATTAGTACAAAATGGATTTTTCAAAACAATGCGTGTAAGTTGGGAACAATTTTATGTATTTCGATATGGCCTTAAGATACATATGTACGTGTTGTTATGTTCCCATAAATTATTTTCTTTCAACAGTCGATTATGTTAAAAGGCACAGCACGCGAAGACCTTTCCATTAAACCTGTATCGATCAAAGCTATAATGACTCTGTCTACACGCCCTCTAATTGATGGCGATTTCAGTCGCAATTTACTCGCTCAATTTTTGGGAGAAATCTTATCTGTTCCGGCACTGGTGTACCATCTGAATATAATCACTCCGCAATGCATAGAACAACTTACATCAATGGAGATACTAAAACGTTTCCTTCAAGCTGCCGATGACGCGAACTTTTTTTCTGAATTTACAAACAGCATGCCAGTGAGTCTTTGTTTAAAAAAAATAAAGCCTATTTTAATTTTCTTCCCACATTTCTCAGGGAACTAAATTGCTAGCATTTTTGGCGAACGTTGTGAATCTATTTACAATTGAAAGTCCTCTAGAAGCAAAAGAGCTCGCGTATCCCCTTTTTACGGTAAATATTTAGGGAAATGTTTACTTACATATATGCCCACTGTTTTTGGGTTAGTGGGCGGAGGGGCTCTTGATATCCAACCCAATAGAAAGAGCACAGTTCAAACTTCGTAAAAAGTCACATCTGACCCTTCGAAACCCTCCTCAGACCACCTGGCAACCATTGGAAAATGGTCTAAAACTAGAATTTTTGACACCGGTTAATATAAACTCGGTAATCATCAGTATTTTTGAAGAATATATATATAGAATATAACTTTCACACAAACATTTAAAACAGGGTTTCCTAAACTCTTAAGATGACGGAACCCTTACAAATCACCTTTCACTTTATCTAACCCCATATCAAATTACTAAAAATCGAAGGCAGTACAATATAAATATGAATAAAAACTTTTACTAGAAATAGTATACATACTTTATATTTTAATGTGAAGAATGAAATTGTTTCACTGTTAACTATTGCATGCATGCATACGCATTTCTGGCATCCAATTTCGACATGAATTTGGTTTTTGTATAAGGGTCATTCCATTGAAAAGAGGAAAACTACATAAATTTAAATATGCCCTAATTATCTCTATTTCAGTAGACCTCTGTTTAAATGACTACATTTCATTAACCTGTGGGAAAATATTAAACAAATCAAAAGAAGTTGTAATTTTTGTATATAGCAAATTTTATTTCATGCATTAATTATCTCTATTTCAGTAGACCTCTGTTTAAATGACTACATTTCATTAACCTGTGGGAAAATATTAAACAAATCAAAAGAAGTTGTAATTTTTGTATATAGCAAATTTTATTTCATGCAT